TTTAAATGGTATCTATACTAATATTATAAGGAGGAAAGATTTCTTTGTTTGTACCGACTAGGCTCCTTATTAATGAACCAATTAAGATAAAATTTGGTAAGAAGATAGTTTGAAACTCTGGAAAGGACATAAAGTCATTTTTATCCCGGAAATCACCTATTTAGGGGGCGAAAATATTGACATTTTGTTGAAAATAAAAGATGGTAGTACCAAGCATTATGTCTAGGTAAATAATAATCGTATCTACTTTACCAAAAAAACTTGATATGAATTTGGGTATAGTCCGTATAAAAGTAAGCAATATTTTGTTGCTATCATTATTAAAAGTTCATACTCACTGTGTACGATCAAACTTTCCAGTTTCTTTTGAAAGACTTTTTTTAGTATAATTCTTTAATCCCTTTCTCGTAATAGATACTAATACTATACAGTAAATTCCATTCTTGTATTTAACTTTTCATCTTTCTTTTAAAAGTTACAAATATTAATAATTCTGAAATAATCTCTGTGTATACTCGTATAAAAATTATAAATGTGAAAGTTTGTGAGTATGGATGTTTGTTACCTTTCACGCCAGAACGGCTGAATGGATTTGGCCTAGAGATAGATTATAGTCTGGAATAACACATAGGCTACTTTTTATCCCGGAAAAATATACGGTTCCCGAGGGATATATTTGTTTTTGTATAAAAAAAGAGACTTTTATGAAGAAATTCAATTTATATTAAGTTAATGTCGTTAGAAGTGAGGTTAAAATTTAATTTAGGCTAGCTTTATATGAAACCGCACACCGCTATGAGAATGGACGCTTATTTTTTATACTCCCTGTCGGGAGAACTAAGCGAATGACCATAAAGAAAACCACTAAAGGTAATATGGGATATAAATTCGAACCAAAATGAACCTAAAGATTTATTAGATAAGAACTACAATTGCTAAAATAAATACTCTTTATTCGTATGTGCTTGACCGTTCGTTAAGTATTGCCTTTTACCTGGGATGAGAGTTTAAGCTTCATTCAGTATCTGGCTACTGTTTAATTCAATATTAACTTTCTACAATAATTATTTTTTTTTTCTTTTATTATTTAACATTTTAAATAAAATTATCTATTTGGATTATTTCGCGGATTTAATGTGATTTTTGGTGAATTTGTGGTTTGGTCAGGAACTAAAAATCTAAATAAATCCGCAAAAAATCCGAAAAGTTAGTTATATTTAAATGGTTTTTTATTTTTAATCACAAGGATAATTTCCTTTATTTATTGTTGTATTTGCATTTGATAATCATATAAATCCATTTATTTCTTGTTGGTTAGGGCGTACAAATCAGTTTCAAGTGAAATTCGAACCAGAGACATCACATCCACAATTTTTACTTAAAATAATTGATTATGGAACATCTTTGCTTATTTTATCTTTGCTTATTTTATTATATTTGGAAGACTCTATAACCAAACTTGGTCCGACCCGGAACTCGAACCCAGGACTTCTCGATGTGCAGCTGTACTTGCCAGCCACTACACCAGTATACCGTACTATGACGTAGCTACGACGGTGACGTGTAGGCTATGAGATAATTTAGTATATAAGCTTTTCCGATTGTCTTACAGACAAACATTTACGCCAGAACGGCTGAACGGATCTAGATTAAATTTGGCACAGAGATAGATTATAGTCTGGAATAACATATAGGCTACTTTTTATCCCGGAAAATGTATGGTTTTCATGGGATAGGCGTCTTTTTGTTTATTATATCTTTTTAAATATTCCATTTTGAATATAGTAATAGTAGAAACTATTTTATTTATAATAAGACTGTTATTATTATACCCAAGCTTTATTAATAAAAGGGTAAGTAATATGTAAAATAAAGCTTAAAGAAAAATAAGAAAGTAATTTAGTTTTATATTTGCAGTATGAAATTAAACTTCGGTTTCTTTCATTTACTTTTCATTGTGTTCGGAAAATCGGGGAAGATATTAAAACTATCGTAGTTGATGTAAAACTCATCAAGATCAGTCTAAAGAAATGGAGTTCTCCAAAGATTAAATGTAAAATAATATTCCTTTTACATTTTGTTATATATGGCTTGATATTTTCGTTACTTTTCATATCAATTGATGTTATGTTTACATAAACGTACACATGTGTGATCTTTGATTCATTAATGCTTTTTTTAATAAATTTAGTTCTGCACTTAACAGTATAGAGGGCGCTGTACAGTTGTTCTTGGAAAACTTATAACATGCGAACAAAAGGCCAAGCAGAATCTAGATTTTCCGTTTTTATATTTTATGTCTAATTTACCGCTAGCATTGCAGTGATCATTTTTTGTATAAAATACAGCTTATATACTTTTATACTATATTTCCTTTAACCTACAAAGGTATCCGTAAATTCTAAAAAATTATATATATATATATATATATATATATATATATATATATATATATATATATATATATATATATATATATATAAGCTTAAGCTTTCCGTTATAGGAATATAATATCTAAAAAATAATTAAATACATAAGTAAAAAATTATTATCAACATTGAATTCTTGCTACCGCTTTGCTCGCTCATTGTGTGTATTATATTTTGGTTTTTGTCATGGTTTCTAATTGTAAATATTATGCCTAGTATAGAGGTTCCACTCTGGTTATGATTTTTGGTTTCTCTGGCAATTTCGTTTAGTCATACTGGGCGTTACCCTTCTTCTACAATGACTTATAGACTAATAAGTATTAATTTCACTACTAAGTTGTAGAGCTAGATGCTATTTAGTATTATTTTCTACATATTGTTACATATATACAACCCTACAGAAGTATATAACTAGCATTATATTTACTATTGATGACGATAATAATATATTTAATATCAAATTTTTTCCTAATATGTAAAATATTTTATCGGAATTTTCCATTTTATAATTCCTTGTCATTTTGTGAACAAGAAATATCAATGTCATAGAAAATGTCAAACGCGTCACCCACGCAATAAAGCCATTTCAAATACCCTTATGTCATCGATCCCGTACAATTCAAGCGTTACGTGCTCCTCGCAAATTTTCCTTAAGCCCCCGTCACGTATGAAGGGGGGACAGAAAAAACATGATCTAAGAAAGATATCGCACTTTATAAACAGTGACTTATATTTGGTGCTTTAAAATACGAGTTATATTATTTGGAACGCTTAATTTTAGTAGGACGCGACGTAGAGCTTTCAGTTGTTATGATTTTTGCTCTGTAATATCATATTAATATGTAAAACCACCTTCAATACAAATTTATGTATTACGTTAATTTGTATTTAACGTCTAGAATAGATTTTTCAGACTTGAGCTTGTAAAAAGTATCTCATATGTTGACCTGAACAACCAGCTATCATCATACATTTTCTCATGATGCGTTTCCAGACAGACAGACCGACAAAATCTTTAAAAACTATAGATTCGGCCTCTGTATAAATAATAATGACTATTTCAATAAGATTTTCCATAAAATATTTAATGTACAGATTCGACTCGGTTAGAATTTTATTATAGTATAAAGATTATAATCAATATGAAAATTACGCTGTTTGTTAGCTATAAATGCCTTGATCTTATATATATATGAACTTAATTTTAAATAAATGTGAAAAAAAAAAACTATTTTTTGTTACTAAAACTAATTTCATGCTCGGGTAAGAGATTGGATCAAAGAAGAAAACGTCAAACTAGAACTTTAAATATTCCTATTCAATTAAACTTCCATAAGACAAGTACTTTTTGACGTCAATTTATAAAGTGTCGATGCTGTAAGCCAGAATGAAGAGGTATAGGAAAACTCGCGAGAAACTGAATTTTTACTTTATTTAACTCCAATTTCATTGGATTTGAACGTTATTTTTTGTTTGAAAATATGACATATTATGTTAAGACCTATTTTTTTAGATTTACGAGAAATTCCAATATTTCCAATGATTTTTTTTTCAATCTTTCTGAGTCGCTTCCGTGAGGCGTGATCATGTTTGCTGTAAAGGAATCGAGGCGTTGGGAACAAAAAAGCAAAATAAAACCGCCAAAACATCCAAAAAAATGATTTTATTTATAACTACAGACTCACCCTCGCTACGCTCGGGTTCGTCCCTAGGTACGTATGAATTTGATAAAAATTGTTATTAGCCAGCGTTAGTATTGTAAATTTAAAAAAAATATGAATTTTCCCAATATTTCAATCTTATTCTGCTATTCGGGGTAGATACAAATCCAACAAAGATCATTTAAATCGCTCTACCAGTTAACAAACCCGACTTTGTTTTATATTGTATAGATAATATACTATGTTGATTTAGTTATTATATAAATTTTGAAATATTAGCTTATAGTAAATTATGAAGTCACGATGATACATAATGGTAGAGTATGAGGATATTTTACGTGAAACAAAATAAATTGGCGAGTAGAACATAGCAAATACGAACCTCTCATCATTTACTATTGATTTTTGGTATAGTGCTTAGTAATAGTATTGGCTTAAAAGACGAGTGCAAATATATGTATGACTAGCGACTCACCCTCGCTTCGCTCGGGTTCGTCCCTGGGGTATGTATACATTCCCTATTTGAATCGGATATTATTAAATTTTTCATTGCTTTTAATTTTTTTTTCGTTCGGACCCTATTTTTTTCGAAAATAAAAGTAGCCTAAGTTACTCCTTATTACATCAGCTATAGCCAGTGAAATAGCCAGTGAAAGTCCCGTCAAAATCGGTCCAGCCATTTCAGAGATTATCCAGAACAAACAGACAGACAGACAGACAGACAGACAGACAGACAAAAATTGTAAAAAATGTTGTTTTGGTACATGTACCGTGTATACATCCATATGCATTTAGTAAAAAGCTGTTATTTTGACATTAAAAACAGACACTTCAGTTTTATTTATCTCTATAGCTGTGTTAAACCTATTTCTACGTATAATATAATATAGGTTATTCATACTGTAAAGAAATGGATGAAGAACACGAAGCTTTACACTATGTTATTTCTGGTAAGCTAAAATATATAAAAATATTTTTAAATATATCATTTACCAAAATTGAAGCAAAAAACATAATTTGATATATAATGATTTTATTTTTTAATTAATATAGGATCATATAGCATTAGGATAAAAAAAATTAAAATGGGTAAAAGGGCAAAAGAAAAAAGATTTCCCTACTTAATCTCTTTCTATTTTTATAAAAATCACATTAAACGCATACATTTCTTTTATTTATTTTTTTACAAATATACACACATATGTAATATATAATATATCTGTAGTCTGTACAAACAAATATATTCAACCGAATTGAGAACCTTCTTGTTTTAAAGTTGGCTAAAAAGTAGTGTAACATTCTTTCGATTCAATTTATCAAACGATAAATCACTAGCGAGGTTCAAAACGGCCATCTATCGCCATCTTAAAACAATTGTATCTATTCGTCGCTCGTCACGTGCGGGAACAGTTGTTTTCAATGCGCTCGTAAAACTTCCTCGCAACACTAACGCCTGGAATTTCGTTCTTGGTTATGTGTTTTAGAGATCTATAGTAATGTTATATTATAAAACTAAAGAGAAAAACTGCTCTAATATCTGATAGTGCCAGTAAGATTAATTAATACTAGCGACTCACCCTCGTTCCGCTCGTTATGTTTTAACGTTTAGTAAAGATTTCTCAGAGATGAGATATTTTCCCGCAGTAATAGGTATCCTATATGTTGACCCGAATAACCAGCTATCATCATGCCAAATTCCATCAAAATCCGTCTAGTGGTTTTTTCGTGATACGTTACCAGACAGACAAGCAGACAAAAATTCTGAAAACTATAGATACAGTCTCTAGACGTATCGATAATAATATCTATTTCAGTAAGTTTTTCAAAAAATATTTGATGTACAGAATCGACTCAGAATTTTATTATACCTATGCAGATGTATAGATTAATATTTAAGCATTTCAGTAGTCTATTCAATTATTGAGGAAATTATCACCTTCAATAAATAGCTTATGTCATATAAGTCTACGACTCAAGCGGTGTAATTATACATCATTAGAGTACGTGCGAAATAATTAATTATTCATCAACAAAATAGGTAGGTAATAGCTAGGTCTCAAATAAAATGAAAAGTAACTTATGTTCATATTTGTATTAGAATTATATAACTTAAACTAAAAATAACTAAAATGACTTAAAATTCTAACCGATTCGTTCTTATTATACTTACTTGACCCTGCAATAAGCATTTTATAATTACGTACGGGTACCAGCAGAAGTGCACGATACCTATGGCTACAATCTTTGACTACCGAGTGATTTTCTACATATAATCGAGAGTTAGTATTTTTATGGTTTTCAGAGACAAACTAGACAGACCACCTGATGGAAAGTAGTACGTGTCGTCCATAACACCTACGGTTCATGCACTTAGGTTTTATATAACAAAAATGCAAAACCGTACGTGCGTTGTCACTGTGAGGACTAAGATGATATGACTCTTGCCTGTAATCGCGCTGGCTACCTTATCCTTCAAACCGGAACACAACAATGTAATCATTGTTGCTTGGCGGGAGAAATAGATAAGGAAATGGTATCCATCCAGTCGGACTCCCCAGGCTTGACAGATTCCTACCACCGGTAGATATTTGCAGGATGTCAATTAATTATATTGCTGTATTACTGTTCCAGCTAATTTGTCTTAGGCGTCGGTGAATATAGCGTGTACTGCTTGATGCGAGGGATGTGCGAGTAAATTATGCTTGCTTTACACGCTTCGAATGCGTGTTTCGATTCGTCTGTCTATTCAATAATTGTTTTATCGGACACAAACAGCTCTTTTTAGAGCTAACTTTTCTGTGTTTCACAAGACATCGAGCGTAGTTAATAAAAAAAAATGTAATAAAAAAAAGGAATCTTCAATATTTTAATTACATTACTTTATTTACAGATATTACAATAATATGTAATAGCTGTATTACTAAAATAATTTATTTACCACCCATTTTCGATAAAAAAGCATGCTACTATTTATTGATTCTGAATTCAATTAATTTTTATTTGAATTTCCATCAAGATTTCCATTTGTATGCCTAAAACACTTTTAGATTAAAATATATCATACATGCACATTTTCCGTTAAAGTTTCGAATTGTTTTTTATCAACGTTTATTCTCTAAAATAGTTTATGAGCTATGGCCGGTATACCGAATTGAAATGTTCTCTGTCATTAAATACATATTAATGTCAAGTATTTAAATATTAGTATTTGTAGATACCTGCATTTACTAAAGTAAAATCTATACATTCCTATAATAAAACTAGCGACTCACCCTCGCTTTGCTGGTGTTCGTCCCTAGGTACGTTTTAGTTTTTTTGAGCGAAACCCTAATTCTTTTTGTAAAATAAAAGTAGCCTATGTTATTCCGTATAATATCAGCTATCTTCCAGTGAAATTCCCGTCAAAATCGGTCCAGCCGTTTCAGAGATTATCCGGAACAAACAAACAGACAAAAATTTAAAAACATCTGTTTTTCTTATAAGTACCGTATATAATTTCTTATGCATTTAGTAAAACGCTGTTATTTTGACGTTACAATCAGACACTTCAATTTTATTTATCTGTATAGATTCTAACTGAGTCGAATCTGTACATTATACATTTTTTGAACATATAATCTATAGTTTTTATTATTTTTTCTGTTTGTCTGTCTGTCTGTGACCGCTTCACAGAAAAGCCACTAGAGGTTTTTTGATAAAATTTAGTATGATGATAGCTGGTTATCTGGGTCAACATATACGATACCTTTTATTGCGGTAAAAGATCTCATCTCTGAGATATCTTATACTAAACGTTAAAACGTAAGTAGGGACGAATCCCAGCGGAGTGAGGTTGAGTTGCTAGTTTTAAATAAAAGAAGTTTTAAAGTGCCATAGGGTCCGACGACATTTTTCATACGAGTGGTGAAGCCCTCCGGCTACTAAGCGAGCTACGCGTTATGAATTTTACTTTGATTTACCTACAAACGATTTACCAAACCTTCGGTCGCTATTTCTTTTCTACATTATTTATTAGATATTCCGAAAAAGAGAGTGAAATCTGGCTCACGTCGTTTTTCGATAAAAATCTCCGAACAGACTGATTCGTGCAATTGTGTGCACACGCTTAGTAATCACGTTTTTTTTTAAATTATGACATTATCATTTTATTGTTTGTAGGTTTGCATAATTCATTTAGCTTTAATATTCTATGTATACATATTAAACTCGATTTGTGTATATATGTTCTGTGTGGACTCCAAAACGGCTGGAGCGATGTTGATGAAATTTTAATGCAATCTTCAGATAAGCCCAGCGGTGAGATCTTAATTTGGTAGCGATCGGAAGTTTAAACGCGGGCGAAGCCTAAACTGCTAGTAAGCGATAATACTTTGTTTAAATACAAAAATAATGCCGTTATTGTACTCTTAACTTGCTATGAAATCTTATCACTATGTATTTAAAATATATGTATTCATTAGTTATTAATTATCAAACAAATTATAAATCAGTAATTATAATCATGAATAAAAATATTCGAAATTACTTTATTATAAAAAATAATAAGTACCTATAGTGAACAAAATAATTTATGATTCTAGATAAAAGGATCAATTTTTCTATTTTTTAAGCTACAATTAACTCTTATAAAGATCTTTAAATACCATTTAACGAAACGTGGCGCTTTAATGTGAAAGGTAAATTCTATTTGCCTTATTCCATAAATGTAAGAGGATATTATAAACAAAGGAAAATGACTAATTAAGTAATTAACGAGAGCCCTCAAACAAAATTAAATAAAATATAATAAAATAAAATAAAAAATAGTATATATTACATTTTCAATTTAACAATATTCAGTTCTTTTTTAAAGTCCCACAGTTGGGCACGGGCCTCCCTTCAATACGAGGGGGATCAGGCCATAGTCCACCACGTTGGACCAGAAATATTACAATGATTGTTGAAGATGTCAAAAATATCATGGTGCTTGGGAGTTTACCTGGGGTACGTCGCGTAAACCAATAAAGTTATATGAAAACAATGTATTACAAAGTTATTCTTATAAAGATCTATTAAACTGTAGTGACGCTATATTGTATAAGTACCTAGAAATGGACGTAAGCGAAGCGAGGTGTAGTCACTAGTCGTAGTTTATATATTAAGAAAAGTTACAGGCTGTTTTATAACAACATATGCCCCTTAGCAGCAGAACAAAAATTATTATACATAGTTAAATTTCAAATCCCCGCCGAAAGCCATAAAAACACAAAATCAATAACATATGGTACATGGGCAAAAAGCACGCACGAATCAACATTAGAAAGGAAAGGGTTCTAAGCGTATTGAACTCAATCGTTACGTTCATTAATAAACAGAAAATTGCTTCAGAATCTCGTCAGGGTGCAGAAAAATCCTTTGATATATTGGCTCGTTACTCGCGCCATCTCCTTCGTCGGGACTTGGATTGTTAATCGGGCCATTTGTCACGATCACGCTTGGTATTCACTGCAAACGAACGATTCAAATTTTGCGAACAATTTCGCACGAGACGCGGTTCCTTGGACTGAGTAATAACGACTAATGTTAATTCAGCCAATCCGTTTCCAAACTGTTATTGCTCACGCTCGACACCAGACGGTTGGTTTACCTAAATAAACCTTGCTGGTTATTTAGCTGAATATATTATCTCAAGGTTTTTCTTATAGCTTGATATTATTTAGTTATATATACAAAATTTGTTGGTATGTAATTTTGTACATATGTCTATGATATCTGGAATTTATGAATTGATTTGATGTTTCTTTAAAACTAAAATAGGTACGTAAATTCTGAATATACAAGAGTAATCAAATTTGTTATAATTTGTATCTCTTCTAATTTCAGGTATTTTTTGACTATTAAATATTAATACTTACTTACAGTTTAAATTATCTTTTCAATTAAATAATAAATATAAATACTTACATGATGTTTAGACATATCGTGTCTTATCTACAAAGTAATAAAATAAATATTTCAGTTAAAAAAACAGTATATAATAGTGGTACATAAAAAAATATTTTTAGTTTTAAGATTTTTTTTTGTAGTTACTCGTAGATATTAGTATTAAAACGTTTAAATTACGACGTATACCGCATCGTAAAAATACTATCTCATAATATCTGCTTTTAATAAAAGCGCAGCAGTTTCTTAGTGGATACCATTACTCAGTCAACATCTTCGCTAGCGATTAACGATATCTAAACTACTCGTTACTAGCAATAGTAATGTTATTTAACGATAGCAATTTCTATAGTTAACGTTCAGTGAGATAATATAGTTTGTTATACTTTACCTTACTTCACCAAGCGTGCTTGGCGACGTTAAATTTAGTACAATCGCATAAGCTCTGTTACTTTGGTTTAATTTATGATCACTCCTAAAACTATCGTATAATCAGATTGTCTCTACATTTAGAATTTATAGTGGCTATTCTAGCTAGGTAGCGAACCACTTTTTTTAAACTAAAGTCTAACTATTGACCGACTTTAAAAAATAAGAGGTACTCAATTCATCTTCAACACGCCTTTTTTATGTAATATCTTCGCATTATATGAATCGGATTATTCTTTTTTTTTTCTTTAATAAATAAGTTATACTAATCCAAAAGAAAACCTAAATAAAATTATAAAACAAACCTATTCCACGGGAAACATTTTTTTGGGATAAAAAGTAGCCTTTTATTCCAGACTATAATCTATCTCTGTGCCAAATTTCATCCATATCCGTTCAGTCGTTCTGGCGTGAGAGTAACAAACATCCATAATTTCAAGCTTTCTCTTTTATAATATTAATAATAAGGACAGGTACCACCCGTACGAGTTGAAAAAAATATGTATAGTTTGTGAAGGACTTTAGAATAAGGGTAGCAGCATGTGTATATATTTGGGGGTGAGAGGGGTAGAGTGTAGACCCCCCCCCCCTCCGAAAGGAAAAGTGGAGGAAATGTTTTTTTTTATATATATGAATTTTTAAAAATCTCATTTTGAGGTTGTGTTTTGTTGAAAATATTACGAGTACATATCCGACAAAATATAACTAATTTCAAAATGCCAAAATGATTGCAATTAACTTGTCAAAATGTAATTATTATAATGTCAATCAATTTTAAATAATCTACCCTTTAATCGTACTGTCATTTTTTGGTACACAAATATATCACAGATAATATACAGTTAAAATGTTCTATGAATTCTAATTTTAATTCATATTTCTCTTAAAATAATTTTAATATTAGCGAAACCCGCGGTTTCGCTCGCGCTAAAACTACACAAAAATCTCTAATAGGTAGTACCTATGTTTCATACAAACTTTCATCCCCTATTTTACTCCCTTATAGGATGAATTTCGAAAAATGCTAAAACATGTATTTATTTATTTGTATTGAAGAGCACTAATACCAAGTTTCAAGTAATTCTGATCAGAAATAAATTTTTGGATTGTATTATAACGTGTTTTCCCGTTGAAATGAGATGATCTCCTGCAATATAAGCAGCCTATGTCACTTTTCAGTTCTTCAATTATCTTCACACCAAAAATCACGCCAATCAAATCAAAAATAAAAAAAAGAAAGAAAAACAAACAAACAAACACACTTTCACATTTATAATATTAAGTATGGATTTCGAAATATAATATACTCGTATGTGTTTTACTTGAAACATATAAATAATTTCAATTTAAGCTATATTTAGTACCAACATAATTAAATTCCTTGAAAATGGCTCTATTTTAACAATGTTTTATAAAATACCTATAAAATATTATCCATATGATGCATTTTTATTATGTTTTTTATAAACATAATAAAAATGTATTATATAGGGCATATACAAAGACTTACATAATATGTTCAGCTCCCATTATTTAACTCTTACATAGAGCATTAACCATTATAACTAACCAACAGAAAGGAAAAGTATATTATAAAAACATAAAAAATAGCCACTAAATACATCCGTACTCTAAATATTATTCTTTCAACAGGTCTACGTCCTGGTCAAACTGTGTGGGCGGAATCTCTCGACGCGGTCAATTTGTCAGCAGTGTCGGGTGGAGATGCGACACTACCATGCGATACGCACTCGCCACAGCCACCCGACTCGTTACTGCTCGTTGTGTGGTATAAAAACGATCTACCAATATACAGGTAAGGGTAAAATACTGATACCACTATTGAGTGCCTGGAAGACTGTGCATCGCTCGGCGTTTTTCGGAAAAGATTTAAGAATTAAGTTTTTTTTTCAGAAAATGTACGTATATATAGATTTTACAAAGCAAAACTTTATGTAAATACAAAATTTGATCCAAATCGTTAGAGCCGTTTTCAAGCTTGACAAAATTTATAAATATACAACGATTGCTCATTTAATATTATAAAAGTACCTGGGCAATCGAGTTTTGCTCGGAATTTTTAGCCAAAAGTACAATTTTCTTTTTTTTTAAGTAAAAACTTTATATCTAACCAGGATTCGAACCCGGACACCTGTGATCGTCAGTCTTGCGCCTTGGCCGCTTGACCACGATGCTTATGCCCAATGCGCAATTAGCGACCATATTTTGCGTGGAACAATGCCAAAGAAATAAACACTCGAAATCACGCATTTTCCCAGACATAAGACTAATCTACATCGATTTTTCGCCTCCGAAAACACCCACATACCAAATTTCAGCGAAATCGTTAGAGCCCTTTCCGACATCACCGGTATAAATAAATATACAAGAATTGCTCGTTTAAATATATTAGATAAACCACTGAGAAAGTTTAGTATTATATAATGCATATTATTATATTGTCATGATAATTCTACTATAATGTCTTAACTTTTATATTACTTTATATTCTTGCCCTGCAGCCTGGGTCTTGAATAAGGCTGCGGTAACTCCTGCCTGTCGTAAGAGGCGACTAAACGGAGTCTCGGCGGGAAAGGCAAACCTCAGCAGATATGCTACTGGTGTTGGCGGACCCGGCGAAATAAAAGGCAAGGTGGATGGCCATGAGGGCGGCGGTAGTTAGCATAGCTGCTATCGTCGGCCAGACACATCATCCAAACCCTTCTCTAGTCGTAGCGGTCTCCCGTTCCATTAGATCAAGAAGGGGGAGGACGAGTGTGTGCGCCTGCGTCTGCGCGTACGCTTGTGCACCTAAATATCTCCTGCGCATTTGACCGTTTCCGAATACTGGACTCCGAGGACAAAAAGTCCTATGGCGATAGGACAAGGTAGAGAGGTCTGGTCTGATGCAAACCGGACTTTGTCCGAGTCCTGCACATAGGCGGCCCCAGGGGTGTTGTATTACACCGTGGTCGCTTTTGCACTGCAATTGGGAATGACAGTGTGAATTCGGCAGCACCTGGGATGACAAAGCAGCCCTATTTAGGGAGACACTGCTTTCCTCGCTCAGCCGAGGAGGGGGCTAGAAAAGGTGCCCTAAAAATTGTTCATTCCCATTCGAAAGGTGGTAGTAACCGCGGCTGCCATCGCATTCCCTTATACGCGGTCGAAAACTAAAAAATAAAAACAACATGCAAACATCTAACATGACGTTTGGTGCGTGGAACGTGAGGACACTGCTTGACCAAGATGGCAATGCTTGCCCTGAACGCAAAACTGCCATAGTAGCGCGGGAACTTCGTCGCTATAACGTAGATGTGGCTGCTCTCAGCGAAACACATCTTTCTGACGAAGGAGAGTTGATAGAAGATGGCGGCGGTTACACTTTCTTTTGGAAAGGTACCGCAGCGTCCGAACCAAGACGTTCTGGAGTTGGTTTTGCCATCAAAAACCATCTAGTCAAGCGACTCGGAGAGTACCCCTTGCATATCTCAGACCGCGTTACCACATTGCGCCTTCACCTGGACAAAGACAATTACCTTAATGTCATCAGTGTCTATGCACCTACACTAGACAAGTCTGATGACATCAAGGACAGGTTCTATGAAGAACTTTCCCACTGTCTAGACAGCATTCGCCCCCAAGAACAAATACTACTATTGGGCGACTTTAATGCCAGAGTTGGACGAGACTATGAGACTTGGCCTAGAATCTTGGGCAGACACGGAGTTGGCAACATGAACCATAATGGTCAGTTGCTACTGAGTCTTTGTGCTCAATACCAACTTGCGGTTACGAACACTATGTTTAGACTTCCAGCTAAGCACAAGACTACGTGGATGCACCCGCGGTCTAAACACTGGCATCTTATCGACTATGCTGTCGTAAGACAAAGAGACATTAGTCAGGTCCAAATCACCCGCGTTATGCGTGGTGCCCATTGTTGGACTGACCACAGGCTAGTTGTCACTAAGCTGCGACTCCACCTGCATCGTCCTCGTCGATCGATAACAAAAAAGCCTTCTTTCATAAACGTGGATAGGCTGAAAGATCTTGAGGTAAGGCAGAAACTTGTCAACGCCTTGACTGGAAAGCTGTTGCCAGTTTCCAAAGAGGCCGGAAATGTCAATGCTGACTGGGGGACCTTATGTTCTCATCTGTTAGATGCCGCTATTCCCACCCTGGGCCTAAAAGACCGACACAGGGAAGATTGGTATGATAATAATAATGAGGTCCTCACGACAGCTATCAGCAAACACCGAGAGCTCTTGCGACAGCATGGACGGCGAGGTTTGGACATTGCTGTGATCAAAACAAGTGACCAGGAACTGCGTAAGCTGTCTCGTCAAGTCAAAGACAAGTGGTGGCAGGACAAAGCTTGTCGCATACAGTGGCTTGTAGACTCAAACCAGCTTGGGGAGTTTTATTGCGAGATTCGTAAGCTGATTGGTACTTCCTACAGAGTCAGAGTGCCTCTTAAGTCCTCGGACGGTGAGCGTCTCTTGACAAGTAAGGAGGACGTACTTAATCGTTGGGCAGAACACTTCAATACATTGCTCAATGTAGATCGATCAGCCGATCTAAGTCATATCAGCTTATTGACTCAACTTCCTCTTGCTACCGAGCTAGGTGAGCCGTTGTCACGCGATGAAGTTGTTACTGCCATCAGACAGCAACAGAACAATCGGGCGGTTGGTATCGACTGTATACCGGGAGAGTTGCTGAAATATGGCGGTAAGGAATTGCATACGTTGGTGTGGGAGCACTTTGTTCGTATGTGGGAAGAGGAGAAAGTCCCGGATACTTTCAAAGTATCTAGCATAATTGCCCTCTATAAAAACAAAGGTGACCGTTCCCTTTGCGATTCCCATCGAGGTATTTCTCTTTTGTCGGCCCCCGGTAAGGTCTTTGCCAGAGTTCTTTTAAACCGCCTCAGGGGTCTGTCTGAAAGGATTCTACCGGAGACCCAGTTTGGCTTCCGTCCTGACCGAGGCACATGCGAGGCAATCTTTTCCGTTCGGCAACTGCAAGAAAAAAGCAGAGAACAAGGTCGTCATCTATACCTCTGCTTTGTCGACTTGGAAAAAGCTTTCGATAGTGTGCCCCGGGAAGCCCTCTGGCTAGTGCTGCGAAAACTGGGGTGCTTGGACAAGTTTGTGAGACTTTTAAGACTCCTGCACGACGATATGCAGTGCTGCGTCGTTCTAGACGGTGAACAGTCGGAGTTTTTCCCCGTTACCTGTGGGGTAAAACAAGGGTGTGTTTTAGCACCCACGCTGTTCGCGTTGTACTTTGCAGTAGTAGTCCGGGAAGTTCTGCAAACTTCGGTTGAAGGTGTCCGCATCCGTTTTCGCACAAATGGTAGACTTTTCAATTTGGCTAGATTGAAAGCGTGTACCAAAGTGTCTTACGCCATGATCACAGAGATCATGTATGCCGATGACCTTTGCTTTTTAGCGGAAACCCCAGATGGACTTCAGCAGCTGATGTCGCGTTTTCATCAGGCTTGCTGCAAATTTGGCCTAAAGATTAATGTCACAAAGACGGAGGTGATGTCCACAGACATGCATGGTCATGAGACATTGTCAATAAAGCTTGGTGAGGATGTGCTTCAGCAAGTTGATAAGTTCTGTTATCTGGGGAGCACTATAACATCTAAGTGTGACCTTGATGCTGAGATCAATAGCAGGATCGGTACTGCTGCAGCAGTGTTCGGAAAACAATGTTCCAAGGTCTTCCGCTCACACGACCTTAAACTAGCCACTAAGGTATCTGTCTACATGGCGATAGTGCTGCCAAACCTTCTATATTCCTCTGAGACGTGGTGCGTGTACCGTCACCACATTCGCACACTAGACAGGTTCCATCTTAAATGCCTGCGCAGTATCATGAAGATCAGCTGGTCTGATCGAGTGCGAAATACCGAAGTTCTGCGTCGAGCCAATGTCGGTGGCATTGAGACATACTTAATGCGTCGCCAGCTTCGGTGGTGCGGACACGTCTCGCGAATGTCGGAGGATCGAGTGGCGAAGCGCATCTTTTATTCAGAACTGCAGGAGGGTAAGCGAAAACCAGGCGGCCAACTCCTCAGATACAAAGATGTTCTGAAGCGGCATATGAAAAGATGCAACATTGAACCCTCGAAGTGGGAAGGTTTGGCGGCACAGCGCCCTGAATGGCGTAGCCTTGTTCTGAGGCAGGTTCGCGTCTTCGAGGATCAGCGCAAAACTGACCTCGACGCTAAGCGCGATGACTTAAAGGCTCGACCACCTGCAGCCATTCAATATAATTATGTTGATGGTAAACTCACGTGCGCCTGGTGCGCACGGGAGTTTAATAAGAAGATCGGCTACATTAGCCACCTTCGCGCGCATCAGCGCCGGGACAACTAGGAGTTGAAGTGGTCGCCAAGACCGAAAACGGTCGGAACAAACAAACACATTACTTTATACCATACTATATACGAATATTTTTAGCATTTTATATTTTTGATGATATATCATATTATGATTATTATTTGTCTTGTAGTGGCATAATGTTTGTAGTATTTATATATTATGGTTTTAAATAATAATGCGTCATATTTTATATATTAACGTTTAGTATAGACTTCTCAGAGATGAGATATTTTCTAGCAAAAAAAGTATTCTAAATGTTGACCCGGATAACCAGCTATCGACATACAAAATTTCATCAAAATGTGCCCAGTGGGTTTCTCGCGATGCATTCCCAGACAGACAAAATTTTAAAAACTATGGAGACGGCATCTATATCGGTAATAATGACTATTTCGAACAAATATTTATTGTATAAATT